CAGAGCTCCTACCGGGAGTCATTGGACTGCTAGGGACTCCCTGGAAGGTTGTGGTCTTCCTCAGGCAGTGCCACCCCAGAGGGGCTGCAAGCCCACAAGCTGCACTCCCTCTCTGCTGCAGGTAGTGAACTGAGCCACGAGTGCAAGCAGGAATAGTGACATGTTTCCATGAGCTTTATGGTTTATTTCAGGCAGAATTACCAAATCTCCAGAATTTCATGCCTCTTTTCAGAAAAATTATAAACGTTAAGTTGCTTGCCAGCCTCTTTCATTAGTCTTGTCTCTTTTCTAACAACACACTAGATCCTTACAACCTTTCAAGTGGTTCATCTGCAAGAGCTTATGCTCTTTGCTGCTTCTTGTAGTCAGGCTAATAGGCTAGTTAAAGATATCTTAAATGAGGTAGGAATAGCTGTCATCTCTGGAAGATAGTTAAATTTTTGCAGAGGTGTGTTGATCACACGCTATTCAAGAACTGGAAGAAGTTCAGGAAAGTTATATGGCAGCAATCTCCTGCTGAGGTCAGAGATGCTTCCAAGTGAAGTAGGGTTTATGGAATAGCTTGGGAGAACTCTTAAACTCCATGCTTTCCAGATGCTGGTGTGTCACTTCCCCTTTATGATAGTTTTCCCTAAAGGATAAAATACTAAATGCTTCAGTGTATTATGAGCATTGCATGATCCACTTCAGAAATACCTTCCGGTTTCTCGTAGCTTTTCTTGACATTTGCAGCAGCTCTGTTGGGCAGGTACTGCACTGCTCCTATGAGCCCCAGAGCTGAAAGGGAGAACTGAAACACTACCGATTCGGAGGATGAAGATACAGTGCAAAGCTAGTGCACCTAGGTATGCCTCCAAAGAGAAATGCTGAATAAAAATCCACCTTGACGTGCTCTTGAATTGCAGAAGCCTTCTAATGCAGCCTGTGCCCGTGATTTATAACAATGACTCATAATATTGCATTATACTTAATATGATGTAACGCTGATGCAAGATGCCATCCATGGAATTTCAATGTCACAGAGAAAAAGAGAGGAGAGAACGATCTGGTTATGTACCTTGCTGTGCTATCAAAATCAGAAGTTTACAGTAAAAATATGTAGAAACTTTCAGTAACTTACTTTCCTATTTTTTAGCAGGATAACTTGGAGAATAAGATTTTTATTTCCTGGAGCATAAATATCTCTCAGACATGCATTACTGTGTTACTTAGAGTAATTTAATTAACTTTGCACTTGAGAAGACAAATTTGCTAACAAACAATTCAGTCTTGCGATTATAACCCTTCACATGGAAGTCTGCAGGGCAAATCAGGATTATGCCTTTAAATTAAGTCAAGTTTTATCTCTCTTTTCTGATCCAGCTGTTCGGAACTCTCCTCCTGTTCTCCCTGTACTGCTTGCTTCTTCCTGCAGTGAATCAGCATTTCAGGAAATACTAATTCAAAGAGGAAAGACATGCTGAGCTCTGTTTCTGGAGGTCAGAAATAGCTGGTCTCCAATATTTTTGACAAATGATGTGAGGTCTCTTGCGCTGCTTGTGGCCAGTTTTGTAGGGTGTATGTGACCTCTGTTTTGAACCGTGCCCCTTCCCTTCTAAGCAGCCTGGGAACTTTAGAGTTGTGCCTATGTGCTACAAAACTGAGTCCTGGTGGTTTGTCACCAAGACAGAGAGAGAGAGACAGAGAGTTAGAGCCCTGTCCTTTAACACTAAGAAAACTGGTACTCGCTTCACCCCAGCATCATGGGTGCATCATGATGCTCACTGTGCAGGAACTCTTGGCATGGCTGGCATTGGTTTGCAGGGTGGGAACAGCTGGAAATTGAGACATTTCACACACGCTGATCTCAGGTGGGAGTCCTTCTTGCTGCATCCTGGGTGTGCACACAAGTATTTCTCAAGCATTGCACTACCAAGGTTGTTGAGGAAAAGGAACGTGGATGTTCTCCACCCATGATCTCTGAAATCCCCCATATTTGACCCAGTCAATTTTCATTTACTTCTAGAAAGAGTTGACAGGTAATCTTACTGTTGTATTGCTCTGACAGTGTCATGTATTCTTGTAGGTTCAGAGAGACTGTTACTGGCACCACAGAAAGCAGAAAGACATCTGCTCAGGTAAAACCAGACTATGAGAAGGTAGAAAGTCTTGAACTAAGATCTCCAGAAAGCCTACATCAGGCTTTTCCTCGTGGTTTATAGCATGCAGTCCTACCTAAGCTCAGTTTCCCTGATACGCCCAGCAGCACCTGCCTGCTGCAGTACAAACTCTGTCATCTCTTGCTTGTCAAGATGAAACAGGTGAATTCACCAGTGATTCTTAAGAAGACAACTAGATAATACTATATGTATGACTTACTAGAATGCATCCTGAATCACCTGCAGCTGGTGTCATCCTAAACAAGGGCTTTTTCCCAAATAATACATGGCTACCTGGGCGAGTGGGCACAGCACACAATGCAGGACCAAAGTAGAGGGGACAGACTTTTGAACAGTGTAGTGGTGCCTACAGGTGAAGATAGTGAAACGATAAGAATTGAACACGTAGTTTATTTTTGGAAGCCCTGTAGGTGCCAGTCTGTCTCCTAGAGGCATAAATATCATCAAAAACCTAGCTATGGGTGAGTAAAACTATGCAAGAATTTGTAGCCCAGAGGAAAGCCACTAGGAGTGGATTGTGTGGAGGCTGATAAGATCCATATTGCTCCAAAAGGGAGAGAACCACCTCAAAACAAGCCAGTCTTTGTTGTGAAAGGGTTAGGCTGTCAGAGACCCAGCTTGCCAAATACCCGTAATGGCCTCCCTCTGCCAATTGTCTTTAAATACTGTGATCTTTCATTTGAGAGCAAGGCCTGAAAGGAATCTCTCTAGCAAAAAACATCACTTATTCATTCTCTGCAGGATGGTGGAGTAACACGCCTCTTCTCAGTCATGTTACTCCTCCTTTCCCCTGAAGATCTGAAAGATTTGTTCTAACAAAGATCAGTAATTTTGCTCTGTAAGAGATGCAGGAAGAAGCATAGAAATATCTCCAGATTGGAACAGTTCCTGAGCCTGAAGTGGCAGATGGCCAGAGATAGCACACACCAGATAACAATGTGGAGAGCTGAGTCTTCCAGGCACACGCTTCTAGGACAGCAAATTTCACATACACAGGTGAGAAACATGAGGAGCTCATATCCTCAAGGGGAGACTGCTGAATGCTTTGCCTTCCCACAGGCCAGCTCCAGGACCAATAGTCCTCCTTCTCTACCCTAGATCCTGGGTGATACCAGGATGCCTGGGATGTAATGGAAACAAAAATGCAACTTTTTTTTTTGGTTTGTTTTCCTGTATCTTTGAGCTTTGCATTAGAAAAAAAAAATTCTAGACAGGCACCAGTTCCATCTGTGTTTGCAGTTCTCTGCAGGCTGGTGTGTCATTTCTTGAGAATCTTTTACTGCCAGCACCTGATGAATAAAAACAGACCTTTCAAAGAAGTAGCTGCCCCACTAAGGTGAAACTCCTCTGCTACTCAGTGGCTTTGTGCTTGTATAGCAGAGTAGACTTGTGGGCCTTGGTGGTTTACCAGGCTTTTCGGGATGTGCCTTCACGCTCCCAGAAGCCAAGTAACAAAGATCTCAGATAATGTCTTTAGCAAATATCAATGGATAATCCTTGAGTTACTCTCAGAATTCAGTGTTAATTTTAATAGTGTTTTGAAGCACCATGTTTGCACTAGAGAGACAGACACAGGCATTGGGAATACTAGACAAAATAAAAATCATAATCTCACCTATAAAACTACTACAGTAGTATTCAATAAAAGAAAGGTTGGGCTTTTGATTTGGGTGGAAATGGCTTTTCTTCAATACAATCTGCTTGGCTCCAGCATAAGTGGAGATGTCTCAGAGCCTAGAGGTAATTACCATGACAAAAATAGTATCCACAAATTAACTGCTGTTCCTCACTTCCTTCTCCTATTTGCTTCTAAGTCACACCAACATAATACTAAAATCAGTGCTAACACCCCAGAGCACCAACAGTGGAGGAGGTAAAATGGAGAGCTAAGAAAGCAAGGGGATGTACATTTGTTCTGCAGGATGGGATCAGCAAGGTGGTAACTCCCATACGGAAAACAGCACTGGACCATACCTGCACATGGCTGTGTGGGGAGCACACAGACATCCCTGGACTACTCCTAGCTGGTGTAAATCAGAGCCCCTCCACCACTGAGGCTGCTCTGAAATATGCTGGGGAATGCCTAGCCTGTAAGAATTTGAGGAACACAGATCAGATAGGGTCATGCACCTGCAATGGCTGCCATTGACAATCAGAAAACTGCCAGAATGCAGTCCATGGCAAAGGCGGCAAACCTGGAGTGTTCAGTGCCCAGGGCCCCCATAAAATTTACATGTTGGAAGCTGCTGACCCCCTGTCTTCCCAAGCCCTGGTGCTGCAGTAGCTGCTTTCAGCTATCTGGTCCCAAAGAATGGAGAGGGGATGAGAATCTTCCTGTGCAAAATGATGAACCAAATCCATATGATGGTGTAACAGTGAGTCAGCCTGTGGTCTTTTTGCTAAACTATTTTACTCCTTGTAGAGGTAGTTCTCAAACAAAGAGCAAGGTTTAAACAGTTGGGTTGAAAGTGATCCCTTTTCAAATGAGTGAGTAGTTCATGTCTGAACCTGACCAGAATCCCATTCACTCGCACAGTAGCAGGAGAGCTTTTTATCATAAGTACCGTTTGACTTTCTAGATAAAATGTTTGTTTGCTTTTTTCCTTTTACAGCTGTAAAGAGTAACATTTAGACAAATATTTGACAGACGGGTGGTCCAACAAGCTTGTATAGCCTGCAAAGGTGCCAGCTGTCTACCGTGAAATGAGGCTAGCATTAAAGCACACTGTCGTTGTCGTGCATTGTACACGATCTAAGTTCTCGTGCACTGTACACGATCCAAGCCCAGCTCCAGCCCTAGGCCAGAGGTGTCTGTGTCTGGGGGAGAGCAGAGGGACTTACCTTCCGCCCTGCCTCGTTGTTATGCAGGTTCATGAGCGTCCTCGCATTTTGCTTAATCTCCCGGGCATCCACAAACACTTTGGCAAATCCTATTCCGTATCTGATGTCAGCAGAGCAGCCTCCCCACTTCCATCCTTCCTCTTTATGGTACTGTCCCTGTTTTTCTTTGTCACAGCCACAGTCGCTCAGGTTGCCCTGCGTACAGGCAGCCGTGATTGCGTGTGCTACTCCAGCAGCAATGATCGCATACGTGAACGCTGCTTCTCTGCTACCTGAAATTAAAACAGTGCCGTAAGCACATGGTACAACATGAGGACATGAGTTAGAAAAAGAGAGGCAAGTTCCTGCAGGACAAAGAGCAGAATGCTATTATTAGGAGTGCTGTAAATCTGCAGGCATAAGCAGGTCTCTTCCCTTCTAAGTATTGATTTTTGTAGATGCTCACTCTGTAGAATGATAACTCCTCATGAGGTAGTAGGAGATAAAGTATTATTTAGGCAACTTCATCTATTTCCAGATGGTATTAGAAATAGTCAAAGTAAACTTTTTATAGAAAAAGGCTGGGGTCATAAATGCTTAAACTCAAAAAGAAAAAAAAAAGAAAAAAAAGAAAAAAAAAGTGAAGTTTGTGGTGAAATTGCTAAAACATCCATATTCAAGTTTTTTAAAAATCAGCCTAGCAATGAGACTTTAGACATTTAATTCTATACTAAAAGGTATTTTTACAGGAGAGCAACCTCTGTTAGAAATCTCTTTCTGAAAATATTTTAGCTGAGCTCGAACTTTTTTTTTGCATTGGAGGTACCACAAAGTTTTCCAGACAGACATCTGTGCAAACTCAATGAAATAAGTTTTGGGTTTAATTTCAAAATTTCTCACAGGATGGAAAAAAAGTCCCGGCCTGTTGTAAGTACCCTGACAAAGGCAAGGTGAAGTAAGAGCCTCACCAGGGGTCTGTGAGGAAGTGGTTACACCAATATTATTTTGTGCAATATGACTATAATGACAGGCTTCTGTTTGTTTGGGAGTGTCTCACTTTAAATCTATGATTTCATTTATCTTCTTGAAGCTTTTTTTTTGCATTTTGGTGTGTAGATTTTCCATGTATGGATCCTATGAGATCTGTGAGGCTTTTGAAAGCAGTTCTGCTGAGAGGACCCCTTCAAAACATGAGGTTTGCAGATATTGCTCATGTGTATCAAAGAGCCCTTTAAAAAGTCTTTGATCTCCGAGACTAAGGAATTACCCCTTACTCTTATTACTTCAATGACAAAATGTACCTTTGCACCAACAGAATCAGACTCAGGCTCTTTAATTAGGAGAGGGCAGATGGGAAGATGATCTTTCCTTCTCCAAACACCAGACAGTTAACTTCTGGCAGACTTCAGCTGCTGCCAGTAAGTTTATTTTACACGAAACAAGCACATTTCTGCTATTTATTGGATTCCAACAAAAGAAATCATCATTTGGGAAAGAAATCTTACAGGCACTTCATTGTCAGCTACATCCCTTTCATATATACGATCTAGATTTCTGCACTTGTCACCAAATGGTTCTTTTAATGAAAAATATTCATTTCCTTATGGCAAAGTAGTAAAATGAAAAACAAGATTACATTATCAAAACCTGTTAATAGACATCTTCATGCCCTTTTATCAGTACAGGCAATATTCTCATTGATACTGCTGTGCACCATGTTTTTGAGGAACTTGTAGTCAAGTATCAGACTTCCTCAAAGGTTTTCATGTTTTCCTTATTTAAAAAATGAAAAAAAAAAACAAAAAACATAAAATGTTGAATTCTTATGACTGTGGACTTTGCAGATGAGGCTTTCTAGAACTAGTGGCTTTTTATGAAAATCTGAATGCTGGATAGAAAACTCAGGCCTTAGGTGTATTTGGAGTTGTGGTCTCAGAGCCTTTGTGTGGCCCCATGAGGAAACCAGAGGAGGCCACACAGAGGAGGAAGTGAGGTCCCACTACATAGTCAATCAATGAGGACCCTCCAGGGCACCTTTCCAGTTCCTCCTCCAGTTTATTCTCAACAATATCCTCACTATTTCAAGTACAACACTATGAAAAGTGCACTGATAAACAGGCAAAGGTGCAAAGTCCAGGTTTCTCCCCTCCAAGGGGAGCAATGCGTTCCACCAGATTTCTGCTTGATGAAGCAGCATGTGGGACAGCATCAATAAAAAAATATTTTTAATTGAAATTAGCATCTAGTTCTGTTTTTCCTTTGGTTGGATGTTTTCTCATCTAGCACAAGTTGTTTTCAAGATCTAGAATAAAAAATAATGTGAGATCATTCTAATCTGACACAATATTGTAAAGACTAAGTCTCTTTGGCTTCTTATAGGGGAGATAAATGCAACGTGGAGAGTATGAAACTAGGACAAGCAGAATCAGAATCCAATGTCAAGCTTGTTCAGAAAATATGTTATGCAAATTAAGTTATTTTTAAAGTTGCTCTGGTTTGGGGAAAAAGTTCAGCAGCTTTTTACAACTAGAAGTTAGAAGATTAAAAGGTAAACAAAGCAAGTGTCTGGGAGGAATTGATCCAGGTAGGAAGTACCTTGGCACTTGCACAGTATTGATCAAGTGGCACGGGCTTGTCATGTCTGCCCCAAACTATCCCTGTTTTCCACAAATGATTCACTTTTTTAAGCTTCATTACCCTTGCCTGGCTCATAGAAATGTCAGCATACAGAGTAGGGGTAGCGTTCGTTTGAGCCTCTTCGGTGACAGTGCTTTAGATACCCAAGCAGTACAATAGGGTTACAGGATAACATGAGTACCTGGACTTTTCTGCCACTTTTAAATAGCAAATAGTATTCCTGTACTTCAGATTTCAGCAGATGGTTGAAGTGCCTGGAGGATCCAGGAAGAAAATGCAGCTTTAACAAGGTACGCTCAGGCATCTGCTCCTTGCAGGCAACTATTTGTTTCCTCTAAGCTTCTGATAATGCTTTAGAGCAGACTGACCAAGGAAGTACTGCTTCATGTTCAGTCTAAACTCAAAATATGAGTACGTTGAAAAATGCAGTCACATCACTTCTTGATTCCTAAAGACAAAGAATTTGGATAATGACCTGATACAATCCTCTACTTTATTTTTTGTTTACTTTTCAGCCAACAATTTTTATGTGCGTCTGACACCAAACTGTACCTTACTTTGAGAATTTAGTAACAAAAAAATCAGGATCTTAACATTAAAAAAAAGGTGAGGCTTTGGTATCCACACAATACTGAGACTCTCTTGTATTTACTCCAAGGTGTAGGTGATGGTGACTGTAGCATCACAAAATACTTCATAGGCAGGAACACCACTTTTGGTTCAGGTGGACAAAGAAAGTTGGCAAAGAAGAAGCTATGGTAGAAAACACAGGGTAAGGAAAGACCAGACCTGGCAACAGTGCATCACACCATAAGAGACCCAGAGCACGCTTTGGCTAATGACCAGAACAAACAAAACACTTCTTTCCTAGCAAAAATACAGTCATTAGGCTGATGGTAACATCAAGCGTTTCACTCTTCCGTATAACTGAAAGAGGGTGGAAACCCCTACTCTTCAGTCATTACCTTCTCTAAATGCCTAGAAAAATCAGGCAGTAGCTGGAAGAGTAAACTGGTCCATGTTCAGCAGTGACATCAGAAAAGACCTTTTGGAGAGAGTTTAAGTAAAACATACTTATTAGCATGAGCTACTCAAGTTGTCTCTTGAACAATTTTCTGACCCATTTGCTAGTGTGTTAGGTAGTGACCCAGGAATTAAATCCTTTTGCAGTCGATTTCCACTGAATCCGTCCTTAAACTGCAACTGGACTTAAATGTGTGATTTTTTTAAAAAATGGGAATCATTTTAAAATGCATTTTGTGAACGTATCAGTTGATCTTTGTGGGAGTATTGATGCAGGTGATGATCCCAGATGCTGGGTGAACTTAAGAGGCTTTTGTGGAGGCTTTTCCAGTTAGTGACTTGCAAGGATACACATAAAACCACTTGTGATGAGTAAACTGGCACAAGAAAGAATGCCTGAGATCTACAGGAGTTGTGGAGAATGGTGGAAAGTCAGCCATAAGTGTAAAAGCATTGTAAGCTGGCCTTTCAGCTCGTGAATGACCTGTTCTTCTTGTTGTCTCCAATAACCAGAGGCTAAACACATGCCAGAGCTCAACTGCAAGTGTTAGAAGTTTCAGAGAGGATCTGGCAGTCTTTCAGAGGTTGCTGTGGTCATTTACAAGGCTGGTGATCTGATAGGCGTTTCTAACCGCGGCAGCATTTCCAGGTATAACTCCTGCATCACCACAAGAGATGATCAAGCTCGTCGCAGATGCGCTGGGGCTGGGGGAGGGGGAGAGGTCCTCCCCGCACCTGACCCCAGCAATGCCACCCAACAGCACTTGGCCTGGCAATGGGATGTGGCCACAAGCATCTGCCTGGCTCTGCTCCCCTCATCCAGACCTGGGGTTGTCCTCAGCCTCAACAAGCGCTTCAGTGCTGTATGAACAGGGAGGCTTTTCCTCATGTGTCGGACATAAATATCTCCCTGCTCTTTCTGTTTTGTTCTGGACTTCAGTAAGGTAGGCGATGAGTTGCAGCTCCATTTGCATTGATGACAGGTAGCTTGGCATCTGTGGCTTCCAATACTGCTGCAGCTCCACTATCTTGATTTATATTGTCCTCAAAAGCACTGGAGTCCTGTCTTTAGACTCTTCACTGGGTAGCACGTGACAATCCCAAGCTGTCTTTAACTTTGTCTCTGAGCTCTGCACAGTCAACCACCACCACTGAGTGTCAGGTGTCATAAAGGGAAACGCTAAGATTATCACAGTTAAGTGCAGACATAAATATTACCAGCACAGGTAGCTCCCCTAACACTGAGCATAATTATACACAACTCATTCATACCCTGGAGCAGTAATCCTGCAAACACTCACATGCACATCCTTGCTTTTGTGTATAAATGGTTGTGAGACTGAGCTTTGGCTGATCAGCAAGCTGCCTGTCTACTAGCAGCCTGTGTACAGTCTGTGTTCTGGTTTTAATTTAGCTAACTTTATGATTTTTAAGTTTAACCTTAAAATTGGAACAGCTTGTTAAAAGCTTCATTGACACTGATTAGAAATGAGAAGTTAGCTTTAAAAGAAGCACAATACCTTGATGTTGCATGGGAGAGAGGACCCAGAATTGTGAGATAGAGTGGATTTACTTGCAGGAAGTCAGTAGGTGCTCAGCAGTTCAGTACCTCTCGGGATCTAAGTACTTTTCT